ACCTATAGCCTAACTAGGAAGCTATCTATTTAAACTCTCTGGCTTCAACCGACATCACATGATTCCTCCTAATATACTTCTTCACAAGGTAATTTACCGTTAAAGACCCTAAGACTTTAGCCAACAACAGAAGGCATTTATCCTTGAATTTTAGAATAGATTCACAAAATACTATATATTAAAACTTAAAATATATTAAATATGTTACTATTAACAGGCATACTATACTATCTATACAGTATATACTGTAGATTAACTTAGACATACATTACTTAACATGCTACAGTATTCTATCTGTTATACAAATTTGTTATTTCAATAATATTACTGTATATATTGCAAATAAACTTTTTTAAATTGGTAATATATATAGTATTAGTAAATACCAAATTTAAATCCAATTAATCAAATTTCTAAAAGATTATAATTAGAATAAGAATGCTACTAATATTGCAATATATAGCCTAATTTTGCAATATTATATTGTGTTGATAAAACTAATACAAGTTATAATGCTATACTATAATAATTTTCTTTAAAATATAATATTAGTATATTCAGACCTGTGGGTCAATAGCATAGCGGTTATGCTCCCAGGTTACAAATCATAAGGTTGCCAGTTCAATTCCTCCTAGTGGCGAAATAATGAAAAACCAAATATGGAAGTGAAACACCGCGGGGTACAGGGAACCCAGGATATCTACGGATAGACATATTCGGGAAATAATTATTCCGAGAAGCTGTAGCTGTGAAGAAAAGCCATGCTAGAACCCCGATTTGGAATAACCGAAGTCATGAGATATAATATGAGGTCTAAAAAAGTCTAAGAGGGTACTACATGAACTCGTAGCACCACCCGATTGGCTAGTAAAATAGCGGTCCAAGGATAAGGTGTTTTGGCCTCTCCGGAGTGTCGTGCAGGCGGTTGGACCTAGGCCCCAATGAAGGAACCGGGGAAATGTCAGACAATGGATACCAGGTGGATATACATGATACCCGTATGGGGTTATGGAGGTCCTGTGACATTAGTAGCATAGAATCAACTATAATATAGCTGGACCAAAGTCATGACTAGACTTGTCGAAGAAATAAATAAAAAAAAAAAAAAAAATATTAGTATATTCTATATAATAAAAATGCTTTTCAACTAATTAGTATATTTACAATAAAACAAAGAATTTTAATTGGTTAGAAGGTATCAGAACTGAAGGACTTAATCTTGGTCGAACCTAAGTTCTAGGGCTTATTATATACTGTATATAAGAACCTGATCCTTGCAAGTCCTAGAACCAAGACCGGACCTGGACTAACCCTATTTATGGGGCTGTGTCCAATCACATGACATAGAGCCAATAAAGTTGATTATTTTGATCGACACGGATCAGCCTGAAGAGAAAAAACAAGGTCTATCTCAAGTTTCATAGACAGAGATTCGTAATAAATTCAATTTAATTTTACATTATTTATACAGTTTAAAGTACTTTTTAGAATAAACAAAAAAGAAACATATAAAAAGGTTTATTAGGGTTGTAAGACTCCATTAAAAATAATCTAAATCAATTCTGGTTTTAGAGAAGTTAGCATGGTAATAACCTATCTTTAAGAAGTCGCTATTATGCTAACTTCTCTAAAACCAGAATTGATTTAGATTTAATGGAGTCCTACAACCCTAATAAACCTTTTTATATGTTTCTTTTTTGTTTATTCGTAGTTTTATTTTTTCTAAAAAGTACTTTAAACTGTATAAATAGTGTAAAATTAAATTGAATTTATTAGCCAATCAGACGAACTTCTGTCTATGATCTCTCGGAAGACATCCCCCTATAGCGCCAAATTTCCTATAACGATAATATAATATTATGCATTTACTAATTTCGCATATGCTAGAATAGTGTGACAAGCTTATTCGTGTGCTTTATAAATACATGATGTTAATTCTTATAATCTTATTATATCAAATAACGATAAATGATGTTTAAAAATCGGTTATATATATATATCCAATATTGTTACTGCTCATAAATATCAAAAATGAGCAGACCTTCGTATCCACGTAAAGCTGCCAATAGTTTACCAGGAATTTCAAATAATACTAAAGATCATTTCCGTAAAGTATATGGTTCTTGTCTAACATGCAACGGCCCAAACATTCATAAAAGCTGGTGTCAAAAATGTAATTCAAATCGCTTTCGTAATAATTTTGCAAATTGGACAAGTGGAAATAAAGAGATTGATAATTTTCTTCGAGAAATTCAATTAAATGCTATAAGTCATAATCACGTACTAGAATGGATACCCCATAATCAATTCTGTAATTTTGAATTTGTAGCTAAAGGTGGGTTTGCCACTGTATATTCCGCTGTTTGGACAAATGGATTTATTGTACGTTGGAATCATGAGAAAAATGATTGGGAGAGGAAGCCAAAGTGGAAAGTTGCTCTAAAAACTTTAGATAATTCTGCTAAAATTACTCCTGAGTTTATTAATGAGGTAACTTTTATTATATGAGTGTCGTCAAAAGAAAATTCATATATTTAAAAATAGAATTTTTATAAAATAAATTCGGGCAATTATATTCAGAAAATTTTGATCCGGAGCTAATTAAAAGAACAGTCGATTATTATAGTTGCATTTCTGAAAGTTCACGGTCCGTTTATAAGAAGTTCTATATTTAGATATGCAAGTTTTCTTTTGGCAATACTCATATCATTTTTTCATTATATTATAATTATTAACTTTTTTTTTTTTTTTAATATGTTTAGATAAAAGCATGTTTAAAATGTGGTGGTGGTTACGGCCTAATTAGATGTTATGGAATATCTCGAGACCCTGTTTCTAAAAATTATATCATTGTATTATATTATGCACATAAAGGAAATCTTAGATGTTACTTGGACCAACATTATGATGAACTCAATTGGATTCGAAAGCTTAAAATTTTAAAACAAATTGCTGTAGGACTTAAAACAATTTATCAGGCTGGTTTTGTTCATCGGGATTTCCATAGCGGAAACATTTTGCTAAGTGAAGATGCTGAGATTGCTGATTTAGGTTTCGCTGGTCCTGCTGAAAAACAACCTTTAATTAGCAAAAAGGTAATTTATGGCGTTCTTCCTTATATTGCTCCTGAAATTTTACGTGGTGGTAAATATACCCCTGAAGCTGATATATATAGTTTTGGAATTATAATGTGTGATGTGTTGTCCTGCATACCTCCCTTTGATGATCGTTCGCATGACGGTTATCTCGCGCTTGATATTTGTCTTGGTTTACGACCGGCAATCGAAAGAGATTCACCTAAACCTTTTGTACAATTGATGAGACGTTGTTGGGATGCAAACCCTAGAAACCGTCCTAAAGCTGATAAATTGTCCGAGATATTGGAAAATTGGTATTGGAACCTTTACGATAAATTAGAGACTCCTGAAAGTTTAGCATTCATGGCTTCAGATAACAATATGCCACAACCAGGTAGTCAAACCTCTAGTAGAGCCGTAACGCAGACGCATCCACTTGCTTTGTATACGAGTGGATCTTTTAGTTTTCAAAATCTTCCTATACCAGTGAATTCTCTGTCAATTAATTATCGATCAAGCTCGGTTTCTTATAGTGGCATGACCTGCGACATAGATTTTAGGACTGGTATGTCCTTTCTATTATTAATCGAGATAACATTTATGCATAAAGTTTAATATTCTATTTTTCTATTTCAATTTTATAGAATCCGGATCCATGAAATCCGAACCTTCAACAATTGATGCTTCTGCTACATCAGAAGGTATGTTTCGACAATCTTAATATTAAAAATTAATAAAATAGAAAATATTAACCTATTTTTAAAATAGTTACATCTGAATCTGATGAAAATGAATATATTACAAGACAATATGATTTGTCATTATGAAACAGAACCTAATACCGTAATTTTCAGTAAATAGTATTCACAGTAAATTTTTAATGCTTAAAATTGTTAGTTAGGGACAAAGAATTTTTGCAATATAAATTTGCAACTGTTAATATCTAAAGTCGTTCGATCATATAATTTCACTTATTTAATTAGTGAATAGGATTTCACTATTTATACTACCAAATTAAAAACTCTAAAAAATTTAAATAAATTTTGATATACTACAAGTAGTATAGCATGGCGGACATTTGATTTGATTGGCTTGAAGATCTCCATGTTACACAACATAAATAAATTTTTAAGTAACTCTTACTATGAAAAACCACATCATTAATTGGTAACTCATGGTTTTACATAATAAAGTTTTTTTAAAACATTCTATAGTATTTTTTACCTCTTTGTACATCTTTAAAAAAAAAAGATCAGTATAGATTAGTATCTCTAAAAACTTTACTTAGAGAGCAAATTTAGGCAAGTAACATGTAATAAATATGGTAATTAGAAGTTAATAAGTTATATAAACTTATTTTTTGCCTTCAAACTCAAAAAAAAATTAATTTTAACAAAAATTTATAAAAGTTAGGGTGTTTGCAAGTAGCTTTTTTATGTGATTAGCTAGTGCTTGGGATACTACAAATGTCGATCTTAAAACTTAGCCAATTAAAAAAAAGTGGTTGTACCTCTAGATTTTATTTAACAGAAACTGGTAAGTAAACACAATATCTGAAAAAATTTGAAATAGTTATTTACTTCTAGGTATAAACCACCTAGTTAACCAAGCTCATATATAATTTTTCAATCTAAATAGTCACCAATATATCATATTAAATTATTATTTTTTTCTTTAAAAAATTCTAGTCTGAACTATATACTATAAATTTAGCAAATACAGAAGATTCTTTAAAACTACATCAGAAAATTTTTTATATAGATACATATCGATATATAGCAAAAAATCGATATATATCAATAAGATAAAAACGGCATTTA